GGGTGAGATGGTATCTCATTGTGGTTTTAATTTGCATTTCTGTAATGGCTAGTGATTGGGAGCATTTCCTCACGTGTCTGTTGACTGCTTGAATATCTTCTTTGGTGAAGTGTCTGTTCATTTCCTTTGCCTATTTTTTAATTGGATTATCTGTCTTTTTGTTGTAGAGGTATTGGATTTTCCTGTAGATTTTAGAGAGTAGACCTTTGTCTGACTTGTAATGTCCAAAATTTTTTTCCCAGTCTGTAGGTTCTCTTTTTACTCCTTTGGTGAAGTCTTTTGATGAGCATAAGTGTTTAATTTTTTAAAAGATCCCAGTTATCTAGCTTATCTTCTGGAGTTTGTGTGTTGTTGGTTATGGTTTCTATCCTGTTAATGCTGTGTATTAAGGCCTCTAGTGTTGATCCTATTTTTTCTTCTCTGAACTTTATAGTTTTTGGCTTTATATTTAGGTCTTTGATACATTCTGAATTAGTTTTTGTATATGGTGTGAGGTATGGCTCCTGCTTCATTTTTTTGCAGATGGACATCCAGTTTTGCCAGCACCATTTGTTAAAAAGACTGTCTTTTCCCACTTCGATGGACTTTGGGCCCTTGTCGAGATCAGTTGACCATAGGTGGATGGATTTGCATCTGGGTTCTCAATTCTGTTCCATTGGTCAATGTATCTGTTGTTGTACCAGTACGAGGCTGTTTTGACTACCATAGCTGTATAGTAGGTTCTGAGGTCAGGTAGTGCGAGTCCTACTTTATTCTTTTTCTTCGGTAGTGCTTTACTTATCCGGGGCCTCTTCCCTTTCCATATAAAGTTAATGATTAGTTTTTCCATCTGTTTAAAGAGTGTTGTTGGTATTTGGATTGGGATTGCATTGTATTTGTAAATTGCTTTGGGTAGAACTGTCATTTTCACAATGTTGAGTCTACAGGTGAAGAATATTTGAAGTAATGCAGAAAGCTGTAGTGATATAGACAGATTTCATAAAAAGTTTAAAGGTAACATTGTAAGGTGATCTCACTTCACAACTAGTGTGCTGTTTTACTTTAAAATGGAAGTATAGAGGGAAGAAAATAGGGCCATTAAGACTTTGATTTCAGCATTTCTTGTATTTATTTTCAGTATCGATGAGGCAGTGGATAAGTTTATATGGTTTTTAACATCTTATTCAGAAAGTAACTTTTTAAGACATTCATCTACAGTATATAAAGTTCTCTCCCTTTATACCCTGGGTTTTGTAAAGTACTATGAAGAAGCAGACAAAAGAAAAGTGAACAATTTTCCTAAATTGACTACCTAATTTTGTATATCTATCCTAAATTCTTTTCTTCTAGTCTCCATCATGCCTTGACCAATATTCAAGGCACATTTATCTTTCCAGTTTATATGCACTCAGAATCAGCAGAAAGGATCTATTTCTGAGTAATTTAAGTTGACAATGAATATCCCGGCTACCACCAATGATCGCCCTGACAGGAAACACAACAGAGAGTCCCTGATGGAGCAGGAGAAAGGTGGGGTGCAGAACTCAAATTCTAGTAAAAAGACCAGAGTTACTGGTCTGACTGAGACTGGAGGAACCCCAGAAAGCACGGCCCCTGGATTCTCTATCAGCCCAGAACTAAAACAATTCCCGAATCCAACTCTTCAGACAAAGATGGGACTGGACTGTGGGACATAAAATGATACTCGTGAAGAGTGTGCTTCTTAGCT